ACACACACACACACACACACACACACACACACACACACACACACACAGAGTCTGTAATAGGGAGCCACTAAGGGTTTATGAAGATAGGACAATGATAAGTTCAGATTTAAGATGCTGGCAGGACATCCAGGCGGAGGTATCCTGAAGGTGGCTACAAATATGAAAGTGGAGCTCTAAGGCGGAGAGAGAACTGCAGAAATACAGTTGAAAGTGTCCCAAATAATAGTTGATATTTATATAGTATATTAAAGTTTGCAGAGCATTTTATATACATTATCTTATTCGATCTTCCTAATATCCCTGACAAATATCATCTCTGTTTTACAAATAAGGAAATAGAGGCTCATCAGAAGTTGATAGTGGCACAGTGCACAAAGTGCTGGGCCTGTAGTTAGGAAGACCTTAGTACAAATGACACTTACTAGCTGTGTGACCCTGCGCAAGTCACTTAACCCTGTTCGCCTCAGTTTCCTCATTTGTAAAATGAGCTAGAGAAGGAAATGGCAAACCACTCCAGTATCTTTGCCAGAAAACCCCAAATGGGGATACAACTAAGATGACTAAATGACGACAACAACAACAGAAGCTGAGCAACTTGACTGTGTTCACACAGCTAATAAGTGACAGGGATTGCTATTGAACCTTAATCTCTGCTGACTTTGACTCTGGAGTCCAAAATTCTTTCACTAAAAGTTTTTTGCACAAAAAAAGTCAATGCAACCAAAATTAGAAGGGAAGTAGAAGACTGGGAAACAATTTTTACAACCAGTGTCTCTGATAAAGGCCTCATTTCTAAAATATATAGACAATTGAGTCAAATTTATAAGAATACAAGTCATTTCCCAGTTGATAAATAGTCAAAGGATATGAATAGGCAGTTTTCAGATGAAGAAATTAAAGCTGTCTATAGCCATATGTAAAAAAGCTCTAAATCACTATTGATTAGAGAAATGCAAATCTAAACAACTCGGAGATACCACATCACACCTAACATGACAAAACAGGAAAATGATAAATGTTGGAGAATAAGATAAAAGTTGGGACACTAATACATTGTTGGTGGAGTTGTGAACTGATCCAATCATTCTGGAAAGCAATTTGGAACTTTGCCCAAAGGGCTATACAACTGTGCATACCCTTTGATCCAGCAATACCACTTCTAGGTCTGTATTCCAAAGAGATCATAAAAATGGGAAAAGCACCCACATGTACAAAACTATTTATAGCAGCTCTTTCTGTGGTGGTAAAGAATTGGAAATTGAGGGGCAGCTAGGTGGTACAGTGGATAGAGCACCGGCCCTAAAGTCAGGGGGACCTGAGTTCAAATCCAGCCTCAGACCAAACACTTGACACTTATTAGCTGTGTGACCCTGGGCAAGTCACTTAACCTCAATTGCCTAAAAAAAAAAAAAAAAGAATTGGAAATTGAGGGGATGCCCATCAATTGGGGAATGGCTGAACAAGTTGTGGTATATGAATGTAATGGAATATTATCATTCCATAAGAAATGATGAGCAGGCGGACTTCAGATATACCTGGAAAGACTTGTATGAGCTAATGCTGAGTGAAGTGAGCAGATCCAGGAGAACAGTGTATACAGTAACAGCAGCAATGTGGCAATGACTAAGTTTGATAGACTTACTTCTTCTTAGCAATACAAGAATCTAAGACAGCTCCAAAAGACTAATGATAGAAAATGCTATCTACATGCAGAAAAAGATACGGAATCTGAATGCAGATAGAAGCATACTGTTTGCTCTCTCTCTCTTTTTTCTTCTTCTTATTGTTCCTCCTATTGGTTCTAATTCTTCTTTACAACATCACTAATGTGAAAATATGTTTAATAGGAATGTATATGTAGAGCCTATATCAGATTGCATGCCATCTTGGGGTGGGGGAAGGGGAGGGAGGGGGAGAAAATTTGGAACTCAAAATCTTATGGAAGTGAATGTTGAAAACTAAAAATTAATTAATTAATTAAAAAAAAAAACCAACAAAATTCTTTCACTACATCAATTGAAGCCATGGCAATATAGAAGGTTGCCAAGGGAAAATGTTTATCTAGAGAGGAGGCTCAAGACTTAAAACCTGTACAGTACTCACATTTAACATTTGATGAATGCATGTGCTTTCAAAATCAGTAGATAAAAATAGCAACTATAAGCCAACATTGCAGGGAAGCTTAATTACCTTCAGGTCTAGCCACTAAAATCTGACCTGGTACCATTTACTGATGACACTGCCTCCGCCCACTGCCCTTCTAGCCCTACTCTTTTCTAATGTTTTCTATGTCATCAAACCTAAGATGGGTCAAGGTCATCAAGTTCCTTGACAATAGTACTACTCGTGGTCATATGATTGCAGCAACATTTGCAAGCATCACTAATCAAGAGTCCCAGAGCTACAGCATGCCCAGGAGAGTCCAGTGTTATATTCTACTTACAGCAGTTGCTGATCTCTAAGAGTATCTGGCTGCATGAGACATTTACTAGCTGAGTTACTGTTGTCTAAATGTCTGCACCTCAGTTTACTTATTTATAAAATAGGGATAATAGCATAGGCACTAGCTATTTCAGAGGGCTACTGTAAACAAGGGCAGGTAGGTGGTACAATGAATAGAGTATCAGGCCTGGAGTCAGGAGGATCTGAATTCAAATTTGGCCTCAGACACATATTAGCTGTGTGACTCTGGGAAAGGCCCTTATCATGTTTGTCTTAGTCTGTTATCTGTGAAATGAACAGGAGAAGGAAATGGCTACCCACTTCAGCATCTTTGACAAGAAAACCCCAAATAGGGTCACAGACAATCGGCCACAACTGAAACAACTCAACAACAACATTGTGAGCAAAGGGCTTTGTTAATCTTAAAATGCCATATACCTGAATAATTATCTCTGTTGTGTCACATATGGAAGATGTGGCCTGAGTCTTACTACTCTACAGATGCTCATGAAAAACATGGAATAGAGCAAAGAGAACCCATAGGACTAGGTATCTAATAACTCGGATCCAAATTATCAACCCAGCTCTCAAATTACTTTACCTTGAGGTTTCTCTTGTTTTATTCAGAGGAGTTGCCAACTCCACAATGAATTTTTCTGAATCCAGATTCTCGTCTGTGCCCTTTTGATTTTCTCCTCTACCTTTGGCCTCCTGGTCTAGGAGTGGGAGGTACTGAGATCCCAGGGGCCTCACGGAAGTGTGCTGATGGGTATCTCTTGTTACCACGTGTTGTTTTCTCCTGATTCCTGACTTGGCCACGTCTTCAAAAGTTTCAGCCTCCAGAGTATTGTGGCCCTCTTGGGCAATCACTTTAGTTTCAGTGCCACGTGACCGAGAGGTCTTCTGGAAAGCACGGAGCTGTTGTAGCAGGTAACTTTTCCCAGTCTGGTCCCTGGTAAGAGACAGAATCCAAGAAAAACAAGGACAAATTAAAAAAAAAAAAGCATCCTGACATTTACTTCATGGTTATTAAGGGCCGAGCAGCATATATGAGAAAAAAAAATTTAATACTTCAATTTCAACAACTTACTCATGTAAGGTAGAAAGTAGGTCACTCAGGAGGCCTCACAGCAACTACTTGAATACAACACCAGGGACCCAGAAGACTAACAGCTGTCATTTTGTCAGCAACATTGAAGGGGCGGTATGTGCAGTAGGAGCTGTCTCACTTGTAGGGAGACTGGTTTACACTATTAGGGCCAACCCTGTTAGGATGCCTAATGCCCCAAATTCTACCTTAGAGCTATTTGTCCCTTTAACTTAAGGCTACTACAATGGGAAAATGCAATTTTTTTTTTTGGGTGAGGCAATTGGGGTTAAGTGACTTGCCCAGGGTCACACAGCTAGTAAGTATCAAGTGTCTGAGGTCACATTTGAACTCAGGTCCTTCTGATTCCAAGGCTGGAGCTATAGAGCTCCAGTGGATAGCCACTGCGCCACCTAGCTGCCTCCTAGGAAAATGCAATTTTCCACCAAAAGGGATAATACCTTTAGATGTTATCAGTCATTTACATCTTGGAGTGATGAAAGATCTGAAAGTAATTTTTGATAGGAAACTAGAGAGAGAGAATGAATACATTTCAGTCTGATGTCCACGTGGGCTGGGAGATGGAGAATAGAGTACTAGTAATAGAAGACAAAAGGGTTCTGGGGGTATGGGAGACAAAATTCTTCTGTGTCATAATTCTACTTACACTGGAGGAGTTTATAATGAAAATGAGAACACAGCTGTTATTCTCAAGAACTTTGCTGTATGAATCCACGGACAAAACAAACACAAATGAAACTGTTTGAGAATATTATAGCTGTTGTTAAATCTACAGATTTAGGCAAGTACTGATATTCCTGCTCATTTACTGGAGGCACGTGCCCTGGAGCTTCTTGATATGCCAGAATGTTACTGTCATGCATTTGTATTGGTAGAATGTAGGTAAATAATGTGTTATTTGAGGGGTGGGCATATCTACATGTGCCACGTTTTGGGGTAGGTCAGTATATACTCCCAGCACACGTGGTTTTTACTGTTATCATGTACATTTTGTCCCCTTATAATTGTTCTCCAGGCATTTGATGTATGTACGTTCTGCCTCTCCCATTAGATTGTGAGGCCCTGAGAAGCAGGAATTATTTCTTCCACTTGTTTTATACCTCCAAAGTACCTTATTCAGAACTGGTGACATAAACAGTGCTTAAGAAAATGCTTGTTCATTCATTTATTCAGTCAATTAATGAGTGAACAAGGGTAGAAATGACCGAGACAATTATGTAGAATTCAACAGCCTAGGATCAAGAATAGCTCTTGGTAAAGATGTAAAATGTCACATATACTTGAAATGGGATGAATCTATTTAAGTCGGAAAGTTGAGTTTTCTTTTTTTTTTTTTAAGGCAGTTAGGGTTAAGAGACTTGCCAAGGGGGTCACACAGCTAGTAAGTGTCAAGTGTTTGATCTGAGGTCGGATTTGAATTCAGGGCCTCCTGACTTCAGGGCCGGTGCTCTATCCACTGCACCACCTAGCTGCCCCAAAAGTTGAGTTTTAACAGGGCATTTTTATGTTAGGAATAACAAAACTGTTATGGAGATGGTTATTGAACCACTGCCAAAAACAATGGCGGAAAAAAAACCCCTTCTATGTTAAATTTCAGCTATTATTAGAAGCTTCCACAAATGCTCGAGCTTGTTTGGGAATTTTATGCTACTGCCAGGAAGTGTACATTAGGTACTCCAGAAAACCTTTCCTTCTTTTGAGGTTCATTAGAATGGCACCATCCTGGCACAAAAAGGGAGAGAACATAATATGGATTCTAAATGGCCTAGAATATGAAGTAGGCATTCTTTTGAATGCTAGATAAACAACATCGTTTCTTTGAAACACATAAAGCATTTATGTATTATAAGATAACTATATAATTCGAATATCCTTAGCAAAAAACTTGTGGGGCAGCTAGATGGCGCAGTGGATAGAGCACCAGCCCTGAAGTCAGGAGGACCTGAGTTCAAATTTGACCTCAGACCAAACACTTGACACTTACTAGCTGTGTGACCCTAGGCAAGTCACTTAACCCCAATTGCCTTTAAAAAAAACCCAAAACTTGCCAAAAAGATGTTAAAGCAGGAAAGTGACGGCTTGATTTTCAATCACCAGACTGATATTGATGTTGAAAAAAAATCACTAATGGAGAAGAAAAATAAAGCCCCAAGATGCCATTCTTGGAATTTTTCAGCTGAAGGAAAATGCTTTTTTTTTTTTCTACCTTGGTCCTTGTGAAATTCTCTCTCTGGGTCCTTTCTCATCTCTCACATCTGGAGTCTCCTCCTCACTTTCGATAGAGCTGTCACTGGAGCTAGAGAGAAATGAAATATAAATAAATTCTATCATCTTACAGCATGCCTAAAAGTGCTGGAACTTCTTATTGAATGAGTTCATATTTTCAGCATTCTGCAAGTATATTCAACTGTGTGCTCTTGGTGAGGTAGGAAGGGGGGAAAAAGGGGCAGCACAGGTATAAAAAGCCTTTAAGTGGCCTGACATATTTATTAAATAATTCAAAACTTGTTCTCTCTCCCTCTCTCTCTCTCTCTCTCTCTCTCTCACACACACACACACACACAAATTCATTTGGATCAAAAAGTGAGCTGAATTGGAAATACCTCTTGAGGTAGGGAGTTCAGCAGTTTGAGCTTCCAGCCAACTGTATGCGTATGAATGTCTGTGTGCAATCCAATCCTGGATCAAATTAATTTATATTTCAACTTAAAGTGATTTTCAGTCTATGCATGTTCCTCCTTACTGAGATGAAATGGCTTATTTCAGCTACTACTTTGCATTTTTGCAAACTCTGCTTGTTGGTTGGATATATTTTTTTTAATGAAATCTGTTCAATTTAAAGTCTATAGAATCTGCCTTTTTGACATAGATTTTCCTTTTGTACTTGTACCAGATCCAATTCCCTCTTTTTCTTCCTTCTCCTCTCTAGGTAGTTCTGACAGCAATCAGCATGGCTCTATTTCTACCTTATCAGGAAGAAAGAGGTAAGGGAGTTCAATTATTCCCTCTTTTACAAAATTACTTTTTGGACAATTTATCTGGTTTGATTTTGATTTCTTGGAAGAGGAAATCTGCTTTTCTAAAAAATATTTTTAAAGAAGAAATACATCTAGAAATGAAAAATCGTATAGATGTGATTGGTGAGACTTAGAAGACATACAAATATAAGAAAGGTTAGTTTAAAAGTATAAAAATGCAGGATACATAAAATAGAAGTTATCAGAATAAATGGAAGGGAGATCCATTATACAAATGGTAGAAAGACCAAAATTAGCTTCTTTAGATATAGTTGGTACTGGAAGTGAGAATAGATGGGGCCATTCCAGGAAAAGATCAAACCTATTCCAAAGATTTACATATCTGTACCTAAAATTTGTTCTTTGACAAGAATACCACCTTTGGACTTTGATGGTTTTTGATTTACGATGATATACATTTTAGAGTTGGAAGGTCTTCATCACCTCTCTAATAGGTGAGGAAACTGAGACCCAGAAAGGGGAAGTCAGAGGCCCATAGTCATACCTGCCTGGGCATGGAATATAATTCTTCCATTTCTGCTACAATCATACCACACTGGCTCTTATTTGTTCCTTTTAAAAAAAGGTTACCTTTTACGTATGTTCCAATTTCCTCACCCTACTTCCCGTATCTTCTTTCATTCAAAAAGCTTTTGATGTAGGGTCAAAACAGTCTGGACTGTTAACTTTCATATTTTTGTACTTGCATCCCCCATGCTTAGTACATAGCAGGCCCTTAATTAATGCTTACTGACTGAGTGATTAAAAAAAAGCAAGTGACCTTGGTCAAGTCACAGCTTCTTTGGCTCTCAGTTTATCTGATAAAAGAGAGGGAGGGTGTGGCAGCTAGGTGGCACAGTGGATAGAGCACCAGCCCTGGAGTCAGGAGGACCTGAGTTCAACTGTGACCTCAGACACATGATACTCACTAGCTGTGTGACCTTGGGCAAGTCACTTAACCCTGATTGCCTTGCAAAAAAAAAAAAGAGGGGGGAAGGGGAAGAGAGACAGAGAGACAGACAGGAGAGAGAAAGAAAGAAAGAAAGAGAAAGGGAAGGCTAGAGGGAAAGAAGAGAGAGAAGACAAAGAGAAACAGAGACAAAGAATTGGGCTAGAGGATTTTTAAAGTTCCTTCCAGTTCTAACTCTTGTGGTCCTAAAATATGATTGTTAAAAGTTGTAGTTTTACGAAATTAAACTCAGCATTCTTGATAGTCACTGTCTTTAGCCTGTGTCTTGTGTTCCATTCAGTCTATAAAGAATAGCAAACCCAAGGACTTGGATTCACACAAAGCCTTTCTCCTAAACAGCGCAATGCTTCTTTTTATCTATAATCCCATTTGTGCTGGAGGACAACTACTCCAATTTTATACATGAAGAAATAGATTAAAGTTGTTGTTTTTGTTATTTTGTTGTTCAGTAATGTCCAATTCTTCATGACTTCATTTGGGGTTTTCTTGGCAAAGATACTACAGTGGTTTGCCATTTCCTTCTGCAGCTCATTTTACAGATGAGGAAACTGAGGCGAACAGGGTTAAGCGACTTGTCCAAGGTCACATACCTAGTGTCTGAGGCCAGATTTGAACTCAGGAAGATGAATCTTCCTGACTTCAGGCTGGCACTTTATCTACTGCGTCACCTAGTGTCTAGATTGAAGTATCCCCATTCAAATTCATGCACTGTGTCGGTATTAGCAATGGGACTAGTAATGATAAGGATCCCTGGGATTTGTGTAATCTTGTAGACCCAATCTCGTGACCCCTTCTCAGCCAATTCTCTGGGCTTTCTGTCTCCTAGAGGATAAAGAAATGTGTAGTGGGCCCTTAAAAATGTTGGCTGACTTGACTTCACTGGAACCAGGTCTCCAAACTCACAGCTCTTAGTCCCGTGTTCCCATACCTAACAAGACCATTGTAACTAATTCCACAGACTCCTTATTTAATATTTGGAAGTTCTCCTAGTTTCCAAAAGCATCTCCTTTCCCCACCCTTTGGAAATACTCATCCCATAAAGAAGAAACTGAAAGAGGGTAAAAGTGGAGCTTGTATTTTCTGTGCTGCCATTACCTGAGCTTGTCCCCTTGATTCTGGAATCGGTGTTCTGACCTAGGCAGAGGCACTGATTTCTTTGGCTCAGGCTGCCTGAGGTCAATGAAAACTGTGGGAGACTCCATTTTCCCCTTCAGCTTTGTGTCTTTAGTCACATGTTGCCTCTGCCCTGGTGTTAGGTGTGACATACACCTAGAATTTGTGTGAACACAAAATAATGATTCCTAAAACATTTCTCTTGTATTATTCATTAGCATAAGGCAAAATTTTCCCCAGAGGTCATCATCCTAAGTTCAAAGTGGATAAGGAAACTGAGGATAATTTAAACTCAGGAAGCTGTACACGAAGTTGGGTACTCTAGTCAAGGTTTTACATCCATCCTCCTCTCACTCCAGAAATGGTTTCCAAACACCACCAGTTGTATACAATCATTGTCTTATATATTCACTAAAGAATGCCCAGGAGAAGTCTGCCTTAGCAACATTTTAGCAATACATTGAAATAATTCTAAGTAGAAAAAATTAAAACTATATTGTATAAGCTTTAGGAAGAGATTTTTTTTTTTTTACTCTATCCCCAGGATGAATTACAGCAGAAATTCAGATTGGGGTTTCTCACTCCTCAGAGGAGAATGTCCAGAACTAACTCAGCATCTTTCTTAGAGACCTTTGGACTCATTAGGTCCATTGCAAGCCTGAGAGGACATCTGGAATGTTTAAACATAGGAAGAAGGCACCAGATACTAACCCAAATCCCTGGTTTGATCATGGGTGAGCTAACTCTTCAGATGTCTTAGGAAAGAGGGAACAGACCCATATGTACAAAAACTTTATAGTGGTGGTGATACTAGGTGCCTGTCAATAGGGGGTGTCCATCAATTGGGGAACGGCTAAACAAATTATGACATATAAATATAATGGAATATTATTGTGCCATAAGAAGTGATGTGAAGGCAATGGTTTCAGAGAAACATGGGAAGACTTGCATGAATCGATGCAGAGTTAAGTAAAAAGAACCAGGAGAACAATTTATACAATGACAACAATATTGTAAAGGAAAGTAACTTTGAAAGACTTAAGAACTCTGACCAATCATGACTCCAGAAGACTAATAATAAGCATACCTCCTACTTGGCAGAGAATTAATGAACTAGACGTGAAGAATAATCCATTCATTTTCAGACATGACCATTACAACAGAAGCTTATTTTGCCTGACTACATTTTTGTTACAAGGGAGGGATTTTTTTGGGGGGAGGGGCAGGGGGAAGAATTGAGAGGATTAGGAGTGGGAGTGGTAATAGTGATTCCCAAAAAGTCGGAAGGGAGGAATGAAAGGGACATCAATGAACCATACAAAGAGGAGATGGGTGAATATAGACAAGCAGGGCAATGTTGGAATACATTTAATGTTACATTAAAAGGGACAAGCCATATGTAGTAAATTTGCAGGTTCACGTTTAGTCCCCATTTTTTACCCTTCTTTGTGTTAGGAAATGTTTGCATTTGTTGATGATTTTTTAGTTCTTAATTTTAAAAAATTAAATCAATAAAGCAGTTACCCTGAGGGGACAGTAGGGATAGATCTCTCATTTCAATAGTACAAGGAGCTCCTGTGTGAGGAAATGCCTTCTACAAAAGCATCTTCTCTGAAACTTATATAGTCTTTTCTCTCTTTTTTATTAGTTTATTTTAAACTTAAATACAAAATAAGAAAATAAAAAAGAAATATATTTTAAACATAAATACAAAAAAAAAGAATTGCCACGTGTACAGCAGCAGAACATAAGAGAGGATTCAAAATATAAAGCAATGCATTTCCATTTCAAGAAAGCCTAATTAATAAACACTACACATTGTGTTCAGAGGTATCCATCTTTTCTTTGCTTCCTTGTAGGTTTTCTTTTGGTCTTTCTCTGCTGTGCACAAAATTTATATAGCCTTAGAGAGTTTTGTAGAGGACTGAGTGGTTAAGTGACTTGTGTAGGGTTGCACACAGAAAAAGTAAATGCGAGAGGCAGCATACGAAACCAGATCTTCCTGAGTTTGAGGTCAGTTCTCTATCCACAATATCACAATACTGCTAAGAGGGTACCATATCATTTAAAAAAAAAAAAACCAGCAACAACAACAAAGAGATCACTGATAGCCTTTGAGAAAGTAGTTTTAGCAGAATGGTGGGGTGAGAAACCAGACAGCAAATAGTTTAAAGAGTAAATAATGGTGAAGAAGGTGAAACAATTAAGTGTAGATTGTCCTTTTAAGAGTTAAGAGTTCAGCAGTGAAGGAGAAGAGTGTTATAGGATGAAAGCGTGAATAGATCACAGGGTCACCAATCAAACCAAAGAATTGTTTTATAGAGTTAGAAAAAATAATAGCAAAATTCACCTAGAAAAATAAAAAAGTCAAGAATATCAAGGGAATCAATGAAAAAAAAATGTGAAGAAGGAACCCTAGCAGTATTAAATTTCAAATTAGATTACAAAGCAGTAATCATGAACATAATTTGGTACTGGCTAAGAAACAGAGTGGTGGATCAGTGGAATAGATTAGGTACACAATAAACAGTAGTAAATGACCATAGTAATCTAGTGTTTGTTAAACTCAAAGATCCAAGATTTTGGGGTAAGAACTCACTATTCGACAAAAAGTTGTTAAGAAAACTGGAAAGCAGTTTGGCAAAAACTAAGCATAGAACAACATTTCACAATATATACCAAAATAAAGTCAAAACCAGTACATGATTTAGACAAAAAGGGTGATATCATAAGCGAATGAGGAGAACATGGAAAAATTTATCTGTCAGATCTATGGATAAGGGAAAAATTTATGACTAAACAAAAGATAGAGGAGATCACAGGAAGTAAAATGGATAATTTTTATTACATGCAATTAAAAAGTTTTGCACAAACAAAATGCAGCTAAAATTAGGAGGACAGCAGGAAACTGGGGTAAAACCTTAGAGCAAATTTCTCTAGTAAAGAGAATTTCTTAAATACATAGGGAACTGAGCCAAAATTATAAAAATAAGGGCCATTGTCCAACTGATAAAGTCAATGGATGTATAAACAAGCAGTTTTCAGAAGAAGAAATCAAAGCTATCAATAGTCACATGAAAAAATGATCGAAATCCCTACTGATTATAGAGAAATGCAAATTAAAACATCTCTGAGGTACCACCTCATATCTGTAAGATTGGCTAACATGACAGAAAAGGAAAATGACAAATGCTGGAGGGGAGGTGGAAAAATTGGGACACTAATGCACTGTTGGCAGAGTTGTGAACGGGCCCAACCATTCTGGAGGACAATCTGAAACTGTGCTCAAAGGGCTAAAAAACTTTTTAACCCATCAATACCACTACTAGGTCTGTATCACAAAGAGATCAAAGAAAGGGGAAAAGAACCTGTATGTTCAAAAATATTTATAGCAGTTCTTTTTGTGGTCACAAAGAATTGTAACTTGAGAGTATGCCCATCAATTGGGGAATGGCTGAACAAGCTGTGGTATATGATTGTGACGGAGTATTATTGCACTATAAAAAGTGGCGAGCAGGATGGGTCCAGAAAAACCTGGGAAGACTTATATGAACTGATACAATGTGAAATGTGCAGAAACAAGAGAACATTGTATATAGTAATAGCAATATCATGATGATGATCAACTGTGAAAGACTTAGCTACTCTGATCAATACAATGATCCACAACAGTTCCAAAGGACTCATGATGAAAAATGCTATCTATTTCCAGAGAGAGAACCAATGAACTCTGAGTACTGATTGCAAGCACATTTTTTTCCACTTTCTTTAGTTTGTCCTTTTTTTTTTTTCAATATGGCTAATACAGAAATGTTTTGCATGACTTCATATGTATAACTGATATAATACTGCTTGTCTTCTCAATGGGCAGGAGAGGGACTGGAAAGAAAGAGAATATTGAATTTAAAATTTTTAAAAATGAATGCTAAAAACAAACAAATTAGTAAAGAGAAAAGATCACAGGATCCAAGAAAGGCTTGTTAAGGATGGACAGAGATGAGCAGGTTTAGAGGTCATGGGGAAGAAGTCAGTGGGTAGGAAGAGACTGAAGATGAGAAAGAAAAAGGAGATGACTTAAGCTTCAAAAGAAGACAAGAGGAAAGGAGGAAGGGCATAAATGTTAGACAAGGAGAAAGAGAAGGGACACCTCATCATCAGAAAATGGAACAAGGGAGGAAAAGGAAGACATGGAGGATTTTGAGGCAGGAGGGAAGGGAAGTCTCTTGCTCTGCTTGAGCAGCAAGGTCTCAATGGCCACCAGGCTCCCTCTGTCAGAAGAATTCCAGGAATGGGGGACTCATGATTTTATGAAGCAGTGTATTTCACTTTGGATGGTTTTGAAGAAGGGGAAACATGGATTGGTGTGAAGCCGTTCCAGGCAAAGGTTGTGGTTGGTATGTAGGTAGAGAGGGTGACTCGGAGTTGGGGATGGCTAGCAGGTGAACTTGACTGGTGCAAAAGGTACATGTAAGGGAGTAATGACAAATGAAATTGGGGAAGTCAGAAGGAGTTAATCAAGATTCTTTATTCTAGGCTTAAGTGTAGCCATTGCAGACAAAAACTAGAGGCTCTTCTATTTGTAAAGATTTTTCAGAGAAAGAAACTGTGACAAGGGAGGAGATAGATGGATAGTCCAATAAGCTTAAGCTCTTTTCCTCAACAACTCCTTCAAGCTATAGAAAAGAACTGTAATCATACAACGTCCATATTTGGCTGTTACACTGCAGTTCTTATCTTTCTGTCTACCTATACCAACTGATGGTTATGTGAATTTCGGCAATCAGCAAATGTCCTATTCTTTTTGATGCCATTTTTCTGCTCTGGCTCCACACTGGCTCATGAAATTTGTCTCTGAATGATATGCTTGGACAATTCTGTCTAGCAGATCATAATATCTTGCTAATGGGATGGAAGGTAACCCTCCCAAATAGCAGGTATCTAAAGATTCAACTGAATTCAAGTCGAATCAATGAATATTTATTAAGCTACAATGACTTAATGGATTAGCCATTGGCCTCCCCAAAGTAGGGGCCATGGGTTTGAGTCCTACCCAGGAATCGGACTACAAGTTGCATTAATGCTCCACTTTGAGAGGCAGCATGGACTTGGAGCACTGGACTGAGTCCCACCTCTGATACTCTGAGATACTTCAACTGACCGAACCCCTCTGAGTTGAGCCTCAGATTACCCATGGGGTTAGACTTAGTTTGTTTGACCTTAGGGTGCAGGATTAGGAAGTCAATTATAGATTTCTAGCCAAAAAGGACCTAGGAAATCGTCTAGTCTAATTAAGTGGAAGTAGCAGAGAGGCAGATTTAGGTTTGGAGAAAAGAAATCTTCCTAAAACAATTAAAGATTTTCAAAAGAGTTATGGGCTGTCTTGGGGAGTAGCAGGCTTCCCTTCATTGGAAGTCTGAGAAGTTGAACAATAGCTTATTGGGGATGAGATTTCTGCTCAGGTATGGATTGGACTGGATGATCTTTCAGCTTTTGAGATTTTGTGATTCTATGAAATTACTGTAATCACTCCAATCTAAGTCACGATGATCAAATCAGAAGAGAAATGAGTGGCTTACCTGCTTCTGATCTGGTCTTCCATAGGATGGCAGAGCTTGTCAGAAGGCTTCTCATGGGGTAAGGATAAATCTTTAGACTGTTTGGCACATAGGGCAACTAGCTGCTCCATAAGCCTGTCCTGGGTTTTGGACACAAGGCTTCCTGCAGATTGGCAAACAAGAACAGAAATATTTAGTGATTGGCCAGCTCTCCCCTGCTTCATTTATAAACTAGGCCCTTAGGTTGAAGCTACAAGCCCATGAACTCAGATGCTGCAGGTTTTAAGAAGTTGCCCCAAGGATAGAAAACTCATTAAAACCATTGTGAACTATTGGACTCCAGTCCCCCACTAATGCAGTTTGGGATCTGCTATAAAGAGGCCACTGAGAGTCAAGGAGACTTATGTTCAAATCTGGACATAGACAGATACTTACTAGCTGTGTGACCTTGAGCAAGTCACTTACCCTCTGTTTGCCTCAGTTTCCTCATCTGTAAAATGAGGATAATAATAGCATCTACCTCCCAGGGTTGTTTTGAGGATAAAATGAGATGTTTGTAAAGTGCTTTGCAAACTTGAAAGCATTATATAAATGCTTTCTTAACCTTACATTCTCTCCTCTAAGACTGACCACCTCTATATACTTTTGAAAACAGGAGAGGATGAATAAGTACCTATGATGATAGATGTGAGCATTTTTATTTTATTTATAAGCTTCTCATGAGCAATAACAATTATTTTCCACTTCGCTTACTAATTTATTTTATTTTTTTTTTTAGTTTTCTATGGTGAGAAGTGGGATGAAGGTGAATTAGATTTTTTAAAAATAAAGGGTTTATAATGGCAAATTGAAATGAGATAAAAGGAGACATTCATTAAAATCATATAAATCACTGAAAGAGATAAACAAGAAAACACTGGGGGAGGTAGAAAAGCAGCATGCATTTTAAAGATAATCAGAAACAATTTAAGAAATAGGTAGAAATATCAGACAGGAAGAATGAAGAAACACAAAAAGTTACCAAGGAATGTGTTAACAGTATTTTTTAGTGAGGTTAGGCTTCTTGACAGTTCATACAAGGAACTGTGTACTATGAAGTTAATTTTTACTGCATAAAAAAAGTTAGACCTCGGCCTTTAAAAGAAGGGTCGACTTCCCAGCATGTGACTCCTGTTGCACATTCTCCCTGGTTTTTTTGCGCCTCCAGGTTTTGAAGTATCTTATCTAAATCCCACTCATCAAGTATCTGAAAAATAAAACCACCTGGTAAGCCAAAATTTATGTGCAAGTTTTACACTGTCACAAAGATGAGCAATTTCTAAATCTAATGTTCCTATGATTAAGCACGGGACATCTTAAAGATACAAATGAATGTTTGAATTGAACGTCTCTGCCCTGCCCAAGCCAAGTTTCAACATAGTCCACTTAAACCTTTGTTAACTGCAAAACAAACAATTCTGCTTAGGAAAAAAAATAATTATCCTTGGAAAGGAGGAATGCTTTCTTGGAGGATTTCATATTTTCACTCATGGATTATAGGATCATAGATTTAGAGCTGAAAAAGGCCTGAGTGATCATCTAGTGCAATTCCTTTAGGTTAGAGAAGAGGAAACGGAAGCCCAGAGAGTTTAAGTGATTTATTCAAGGTCAGACTGGTAACTAATAAATAGCAGAGTACGGTCAGACAAGCAGGGTCAGGATTTGAATGAAGGTTGACTGCAAATCCATTGCTCATTAAATGCTCTATTCAAGCTAGATAGAAGCTACTGTATAGTTTGTTTCAAAACTAGCTTGTTTATATGAGTTTTTAAATGTTTGGGGAAAACTGGGTTTGAACTCTTTAAAAAATAGGTTTACTGAAGGAGGTTATGAAATTCCACTGTTTCAAAAGAAATGATTTAACGTTAATCAAATATTCCTTAGAAGGGACCATAATTGGGTAAATAATTAGTTTGCTAAGTTAACTTTTCTGCTAACTCAGTTAGATGGTCCCATGTGCAACTTGCAGGGTAGAGGGAAAAACCAAGATTGAAAAGCTGCATATACATTGTCTACTAAGACACCCCAAACCCACAGAATGGCTTGAACCAAGGATAAGCTTGTTTGAACCAGCACTGCAGGATTTATCTTCTGCTTTGTGTTGCTATTTAGGGGTTCTGAGTTACTTGAGGTTAGGAACCATGTCTGCCATGTCTTTGTAGTCCTTACAATACTTGGACTAGTGCAGAGTACACGTCATAGATTCCGTAAATATTTGTTTAAAGGATTTAATGCTGGAAAGATCGTCTAGTTGAACCATTCTGCCACCTACCTCCAAAACACACATTTTACAGATAAAGGAACCTCAAGCCCAAGGTCACACTGCACATGGCAGAACCTGGATCTCCAGACTCCATAGCCAATGCTCTTCCCTCTTCAGGGAGTAGTTTGCATGTAATTGAATGGCACTGTTTCTTCTCCCCAGGGCATACCTTTCCCTCTTTTCTTTCAGCAAATAATAAGAGACAACAGTAGGGGGTTATACCAGGGCCTACTTTGCCAAAGGCTTAGACATTTCACTTTAAAATGACAAAGCTTTAAACATGGAGAAAAATAAGTTGGCCTGATTTAAGGAATGTGTTCCTCCTCAAACATGGATAGGTACTAATTTAACGAGGTCAATCTTTGATTTAAGATGTAGAAAACTGGATTTTCTTAGAATTAATGTAATAATAAATACTAGGATCAACAGTGAGCTCTCATCACACAGCGAATACAATCCAGGAGATACTGTTTGCTGGGGCCTACCTCAAGAGACTGTAGTTTCAAGCCTTCATGTTTGGCTGGCATCTTTTCTTTCATATCCTCTGACTCAGTGGGTTCATGGGTTGTGGGTTCTGTGAATTGTGAACAACTTAAACTTTCAAGTGGAAACTTCTTGATTTCCTTGCAAAGTATGTTCTTCTCTATCATCTTTCTTCTCTCTTTTCTGATAGCTTTTATGCTTGTGGAATCTGACTCTTCAGAGGAAGATAAATTACCAGTCCCTAAATTGTCAGTTGTGAGACCTTTTTTATAGGTTGAAGTTGAGAATTCTTCCTCCTGCGGTCCAGTGATAAGAGCCTGAGCACTAGATCTAAACAAGTCCCAGTCTCCTTTCTGCCACTGGGCACTTTTTTCAGTGATCCTGAGATGAATGCCTGTTTGAATTTCTTCGATGTCTGCAAAAGCTGGACCAATCAGCAAAGGCTTGCTAGCGTCTTTCCCTTCAAGAATGGCTGAATCCTTTATCCCTCCATACCAGTTCTTTCCAGTGTTTATCACAGATTCCAGAAGCTGCTACCAGAAAAAAAAAAAGTTACGTGTTATAAGTACACTAAAAAAGAATCTAAGGTAATCTAACTTCTTTTTATCCTAATATTTTTGCATTGTTCAGGTCCTCTAGCTTGTGGAATATCTCTGTTGATAACTCATGTTGGCACTTTAGGCCCCCTAGTCTGGGAATGCAAAGTGAAGCACCAAAAATAAAATATGTACAGGGTCCTTTCTTTTGAAGTCAGTTTTTATACAAGGTACTAAAAATAGCTTCATTAAAGCTACACTAGTAGTTGGCATAACATTCTGAGCTCCTTGGAATGTCTATAGGCCCTGCACAGTTAAAGTAAAAAGCTAAACAAATTAAAATTAGAACAGGGTGTTTCAGGTTCTAAATTGCTGATCTGGAGACTGTCTATCTGTCCTGATGGTTTGTAAACTGCCCTTTTTAAAAATGTTGGTACTGAGATAGAAAGTATATACAAATTATTATTTCTGGAAACAGAATGTGCTAAGATTTAAGATGCCTCTGCCACAAAATACAAAATTTCCAGAAATGCTGCCCCAGAGACAGTTTAATGATACTCTATTACAAATGCTGCAGTTTGGAAAACTTACTTGACTATGAAAATAAAACAAAAACTACACTATTGTATCTTCTGATTTGAGATTACTAAGGCTGTGAAATTTACATAATGAAAACTATTGTTTTAACCAGGGTCTGATTTAAAACAATTGAATCTATGGTGATATGCATAATATTATTGCTAATAGGCAGTAAATAAATACAAGTTAATAAATGAACAGTATTATAAATATAAACCTAGGAATACTTTATAAAATACCCATCATAGATAAAGCTGGGATGGAATAAGAAAAGAGAACCTTGGCCAACAGAAGGGTTAGTTATTCTGCTAGTTAATAAAACTGTTAATGCAATAGAATCTACTGATGTAATTTATTGATATTCAACTTTTAAACAGTCGAAATAAAGGAACATTAAAGTGAACTGGGCTGTTTCCACCTAAACCTGTTGACTTTAAGGAACAAGTAATCTATTGTGTTTGGGCATTAAGGTAAATTGGGTACACGTGATGTTGATAGGGTATTCGAGGCACTGCCATATCATCAGAGATTTCTATTCCAACGATGGAATGTTGTCATTGTTGGCCAGTGGGACATAGAATCATATGAGCATAAATTCATAGCTGGAAAAGACCTTAGAGGTTATTTAGCTCTTTCATTTTACAGATGAGGAAAAATGAGGCCTAGTGTGGTTAAAAGATCTGTCCATGATCACACAGATGCATGATTACAGAGGCAGGATGCATCCTCAGGTCCCCTGACTCCAATCCAAGGCTCCTTCCACTGTACCCTCCTGATTTCCCATGATAATGAGTTAGTATCAGATTCATCTGAGGAATGATGATGATAATTATTAACATTATTATTACTGATAATATTAATTAAATAAGTAAAGCAGATGTACTGACTCAACTCACCTGGCCTATCAAGTGATTTTTAGAAGAGACTAGCTGGTTCTTCATTGCTGTTTAAACATATACAATAAGGCTGTGTCTACATGACAATACAACATTTTAGAAGTGAAGGCAAGTCAGCTAAAATTTTTTTACTGAAAACAAGAGATGACTAGGTTTTTGGTTTGTTTGTTGTTGGGTTTTTTTTTTTTGGTCTTTTTAAAATCTGGTTTAGGTTGTTGGCTAGTGGCTAAAACTAATTAACAGCCTGCGGAAACAGAAGGTCTGAGGCACCAATCCAGTAACATTCTAGCCCCCAGCAGGGTGCTACTGATTAGCCTATTTGCCATGGAGATGATGGGTCTACTCAAAGAGGTTTTCTCACTCTTCAAATAATTTTGGTGCAGTCCCAGGTAGATATATGGCCCCCAAAAAGGATCTGATCAAAACAATGAATTCCATAGAGACTATAATTTAAGTTAATAGCTAGAAATAGCTAGAGCATGACTTAATGCCCTGTCATCCTTCAGGTACTGTATTCTATCTTCTTTATGCTGAATTCCATTACTCTTTCATGGTTCTGATTTGTAGCAACAAAATGGCTGCCATCATAGTATACTTAGAATATAAAGTAATTTTATATAACCATAAAAGTAAGTATTGACCAACAGGGCCTGCACCTGTATGAAAGTGAACTATAGGAAAATAAGAATATAATTTCTTAACTACTATATTTATTTGCTTTTTTTTGTATACTTTATTCATTGAATGTTGATTGATATTGCATATTAATAAAGAACATACTTTATTAATGTATGCATGAATGATTCTGTATGTTATTTTATTTATGTTAATTTTAGTTATCATTGTATTCTTATAGTGGTATTACAAAATAAATATCTATTCTGTTAAAAATTGAAATATGACCCACAACATTGACATTATTCTAATGCTTAGTGTTACTGATCAGAAACATTTTTTAGAACTGATAGCAATTTTCACATGTTGACAAGGTTTTCCAGGTTTGGGTTTTTCAATGTTGGGTTTTACACACAGAGAAAAAGTGGCTGGGTCTTGGAGAATCAAGGTCATAAAGTAGAAAAGTAAAATAGGAAAGATAGAGTATAAGGAGAACCTGAATGTCTGGGTCATCTGCCAATTCTTCAGTTAAGTCTGGAATCAGATTTTCTTCATCTCGCTGGAAGATGAATAATTCCCCATCTTCCTCATCTGACTGTCAATAAACAATGGACAGTTAGGATCTTCACAAATAGAAGTGGTTAACAGGGCAGAAGCTGCTGGTCTTTTAGTTCTCCCTCCCAGCCCACACTTAGCAGCTCAATCCAGTGACCTGCACAGAAGAGCGTCTGAGAGCCCTAATCTGTAAGTGATGAGGATGACAAAAGTCAAGGTAAGGAGTATCACAAGCACATTTTCTGTAGCTTTTGTTTTTTTACTCAGCTACTTCCTGAAATGGAAATGGAAATAGAGCCATCTGGTGGCCATCACATATCTCCAGCTCTATCTTCCATATCACCAAAATAAAAAAAGCAAACAAACCATTAGTCCATTCATTCATGCAAAAAATATATATCATTAAGTACCTACTGTGTGCAGAGCACTGTAGTACACATTGGAACATATCTAAGATGAAAACCTGATTTAGAGCCAAAGTAAAATATTCCTGATAGTGAATAGTGACTATGCTACTAATTTTTGAATCTTATCTACAACAGGGTTTCCAAAAAGAAAATTGCCAGTGATAACATGACACATTAACAAGAAGCAAATGGTTTCTGTGATAAAATAATGGACAAGTCAGTCAGATAAAGGTCCGCTGGAAATTTTAGTCAACAACTATGTCCTCCTATGCTGAGGACTAGCCACATCTTGGACTTTTGGAATCACAATGATTGCTCAATACCTATCAATACTTACAACTTAATACCTGCCATAAACCATAAAGGAAGTCCCCAATTTACAAACAGGTTATCTGGAAATGATCACACATTTCCCCACAGAAACAATTCTACAGCAACACACCCCTGAAATGACTGACTCTTCATTTGTATGGATATATGTTAAGTCTAGGAAAACCTATACCAACTACGGAGGGGGCAGTGTGATGGTATGAAAGGTCAGTGGTCAGGAGATGTGTGTTTGAATTTAAGCTCCAGCTCATACTAGCTATGTGCCCACAAGCAAATCACTTCCCAAAGCCTTAATATCCCAAGATGTAAAATGTGTATAATAACCCTCACACTACCTACCATACAGGGTTGTCATGAGCAAAGTGCTTTGAAAGCTTTGTAAAGTTCTATATGTAAACTTTTAATTATTCAATAATCAGGCCTAATAATAATTGTAGTGGTTGTGTCTGGGTATGCCCCTAGAAGGTTCTGGTAAGCCCTTCCTCCTTCCTAAGACCAAAGATTTAAATGAGGAAGGGACTTTAGCATTTACCTAGTAGTCTCCTCATTTTATGGATGAAGAAACTGAGGTCAAGAGACTTTTCCAAAGTAAAAAAAAAAAGGAACAAATAGTAGAGCTGAGATTCAAACCCAGATTCTCTGACTTCAGTGTTCCTCCTGTTGAACCAACACAGCATCCAACAGGTAGACAGCAGAAAGGTCTTCCTGAAGGAAAGGACATTAGAAGCATGGAGGATTCTCCCTGGGGTAGATGAATCACACATAGACATGGAGACCCTAGGCTGCACTGCATACCCACAGGGAGGACCACGTATCCATGAAAGCCAAACAGGGAACCATGTCTGTGTAGGAAACACTGATATCAGAGACATGAAGGGATACAGGTGCTGCTGCCAGTCAGAAATGTGAAGGATTAACAATAAGGAGACACAATGAGGAGGAAGGAGCTGATCCTGTTCCTTTACTGGTACTGTGAATCACATGGACCATATCTGTCCCAAGGAAAGGTGGGACCAACAGAGGGGAGGGTTGTTTGATTTTTCTAGCAATTATAAGTTCTTTCTCTTTCCAGAGAGGGATTGCTTGGGGAAGAAGAGAAAATTGTATTGTATAGGTCTCTGAAGAAATGAAGGATCACCTGGAGAGATTGCTTGACTTGTTAGCAACCCTGAGAGAGAAGGAGAGTTATTTTGAGTGTTTATGAGCTTGAGCAAAGTCCTTTTCATTTTATAGTGGGTTAAATAAAACCTACCCTATATTTGATGCTTTGTTACCTTGATGGCCCTCACAGAAGCTAAGAGCTCTTGCAGAGAAAATAGCCAAATTCTGATATTTCTAAGGGAAATTAGGGTAGGTGTAAATTTAGCTAAACTCTGTTCCCAAGAGAAATTCTGGGGAATTACTGAGAAGCTCCCAAGACAAACTCAGGCCTGTGTGCATCCAGTGCTAGGCTTGGGTTACACAATCATAGCCCATTTCTGCGTAGATCTTTAAAGTCTGCAAAGTGGTTTCCTCACAATAACCACGTGATCCAGGTAGTACAAGTTTTATTCTGTCCATTTTACAGAAGAGAAATCTGAGGCTCTGAGAGGTTAAATGACTTCCCCATAGTCACAGGGCTAATCAATCAACAAGCATTTATTAAGTACCTACAATGTGCCAGGTACCGGGGATGCAAAGACAAAATCGACATTCTAATGACGCGGACAGCCGATACCTAAAGTCAAAGCTGGGATTCAAACCCAAGTCTCCTGACTCCAACTCGAGCCCCCTTTCCACTCTGCCTCACTGCTTCCCATTACAGTGACACCATTACGGTGTCATTTTCCTGTAATGGATAACCTGTTAGAAATGAGAGTCTCAATTTATGAAAACCGAAAAGGAAGTACCTTGTCATGAAAACAGTTTCAAGCTGTGTTCAAAAGCTGCTGCTGATACACAGCACTTATACCTCAAGCACTCACTAATTCAAGTAACACCTAAATTGAGGTGTGATAGCATATGAAGGATAATGACTATTTGCCAGGAGAACAAATATAGTTTTAGGAACTCAGTAACACCTTAGCTGTCTGGAGTTGGTTAGCAACCAAAGAAGCGTGGCAAACAAATGAAGAATGTTAGATTAGCATTCGTCTATCCCAACTTATTATCCTTTAATAAAAACTATCCTTTAACTTATTGATAGGGAAACAGAGGCCCAAGAAGGATAGGTTCCTATCTTTGCAAATGGCCTACATATGAAAATAAACAAGAACATTTTTTTTTTTACAGAGAGAAGCTTTATAGAGAATATGGAGCTGAAGAAAACAATTGCTATCTTGTTATTCTTTGCCTTAGAGAATTTGTTGTAACTTGATCAGCAAAGCACTATGGGTCATTCACTGGGACAGAAAACAGTGCTACCATTTAGAACGTTCCTTTGTATAGAGTTCATCCCAGTGGAGCTTTGCCACTAGCTGCTGCCAAGGGCCATCCTCATCTTCAGTTCAGCATCATGACTTGTAACATGAATTCTCAATAGGATGCTTGGAAGCATTGAAACGTCACTTAGGAAAACCAAGCAACAGTAAATGAACTGAGAGAATGACAATGAAGGATATGGAAAAAAAAAAAAAAGGCAGGGGGTGGGGTGGGAAATAAAAGAAAATTGAATTAAGAAAAGATTTAAGGACAACAAAATTATTTATGCCAAGTTGAAAACATGAATATCATCTAATTTACAATTTGTGAAAATTTATAAAAATTAAAAATTAAAAATAAGACTTGCATACATAAATATGGAGAAATGCTCACTTAAGTCAATGTTCTGTTCATCATAGGAAAAAAGTTCTCTGACCTACGGAATCTACATTGAGCAACTTCTTACCGAGGAAGAATCTGAGTCAAAAGATGGGAGCTGTTCTTTCACTGAAGCCAAGATAGATCCCCATATTGATGTATCATATAGGCAAGGCAATTGATTTTGGCCAGTGGGATGATCTTGTTTATCATTTGATGCCATAGGAAACAACTGCCATGCAGATACCCCATGCACATGAAATCACTTGAGGATAACCTAAAAAAAATAAAAATAAAAAACAAAAAAAGAGGAGGCAAGGCAAGAAAACTGTAATAGAGTACCTACATAAAGGTCAGAGTTTGGATGACTTAATTATAAAATTTAGAAATCCTTAGAAATGTCATCTAATCTCTTCCTCTTAAAGACGAGGAAACCAAATTCCACACAGGTAAAGTATTTCTATAAAACAGAGGGTGGTGTTTGGTCCAAACCTGTGATTTCATCAGTGTGTTGAACTCCCAGCGTAGATACTCCCTCTACCAATGCAGATTAGCAACTGTGAGAATTGCCTTAGGGCACTGAGAAGTCAGTCAATCTGACATGTGAGGCAAGGCTGAACCCTGGTCTTCCTACCAGACTCCAAATATGGCCCTCTATCCACTGCACCAGACTGTTTCAATCTCTTGCGATCATATAGAACATTAATAGCATGGTTGTGCTATTTCCCCAATTTCAAGACCAGACATCTTTCTATTGTACAACACAGGATCTCCTGTCTTCCCCAAAAGATCTAGGAAAGACTTAATTCACTTAAATTTATTAAACACCTACTGTGAGGATGGATTCTGAGAAACAGATGGCATAGTGTAAGGGGAACTGGCCAGAAAGGCACGTAGATCTGGGGTGCAATCCTGCCTCTGATACATACTAGCTAAGTGACCCAGGTAAATACCTTAATCGCTCTGGGCTGTAGACCAGAGTGTCAAACATGGTACTGCAAATTGCTTTGTGATCACACTTCCAAGCGGGGCCCACGGTAGATTAAAATATAATTGGGAAATAAACAAAATAAGTAAAAATTCAACAGAACATAATAACATTAATAGAGGGGCAAGTAGGTGGCACTGTGGATAGAGCACTGGGCTTGGAGTCAGGAAGACTCATCTTCATGAATTCAAATCTGTCTTCAGACACTTAACAGTTATCTCTTCCACATCACAGCTTTCCCCATCACAGTTTCCATATATTGCAGATTGGCATAACAAATTAAATCGGAATTCTTAGGGAGTAGGCAATATGTGAAGGCCAGCAGATGACACAGAAAAAGTTTAGAAACTCAGAAATGCACAAAATATATGTATAGCATTGTATTATATCAACATATTTTATCTTTTAATGCCATAATAATTCAGACTTCTCTGGTACAAAGGGAGGGCCAAATTTTACGTGGATTTACCAGATCATCAGGCTGCCACACCCTTAACCCCTCGATGTGGAAGGGATAACTGTACTAGCTATGTGACCCTGGACAAGTCATTTAACCCTGTTTGCCTCAGTTTCCTCATCTGTACAATGAACTGGAGAAGCAAATGGCAAACCATTCCAGTATCTTTGCCAAGAAAATCCCAAAATGGGGTTACAAAATGCCAGAACAACAGTAACAACAATGTGAACAAGTGTTTTTCTAAGTCAGTATGCGACCTGCAGGGATCCTTGGGGAGATTTAGTGGCCTTCCTTCCTATTTGAGTTAGATATCACTGCTTTAGGCAACTCTCTAAGACCTAGAAGGTGCTGGTCTCCAATGCTAGAGGGAGTTTCCTCACCCAGGAGAACCTTTTTCTTCTAATTTTTCATTCTTTTGATTTTGTTTGACTGATTCTTGATGTCTCATAGAGTCATTAGCTTCCACTTGCCCAATTCTAATTTTTAACAAATTGTTTTCTTCAGTTAGCTTTTGTACCTCCTTTCCCATTTGGCCAATTCTATTTTTAAGGAGTTGTTTTCTTCAGTGTGCTTTCTTCCACTTTGTCAAAAAATTGTATTTTTAAAGGAATTGTTCAATTTTTCTTCTACTTCTCTTACTTGACTTTTAAAATCCTTCTTGAGCTCTTCCAAGAAGGTTTTTGGAGCTTCAGACCAGTTTATATTCCCCTTTGAGATTTTAGATGTGGGTATATTGACAATGTTGTCCTCTCCTGAATTTGTGTTTTAATCTTTCCTGTCACCATGATACTTCTCTATGGTCACTGTTTTTCTTTGTTGGTTCTTGCTCATGTTGTTTGCCTTTTTTCTGGCTTTTAAAGTTGACCTCTGCTTCTGGGGCACAGGGGGTACTGACCCAGGCTTCTTGTGCTGGGGGCAATGGGCCTGGTTACTGGTTTTGTGTGCTGGGGCCTCAGGTGTTGGCAGCTGGAGGCTGTAGGTGTCTGGTAGCTTACCTGGTGCTGAGCTGAAGCTGGTGGTGGTGGCTGGTATATGCCTAGTGTTGGTGCTTGCCTGCTCCACCACCCTGGGGCTCAGGATCTCTTGCTGGTTTGCTGAGATGGGGCTTGCCACTGGCTTGCTGGGATGCCTCCCATCCTGTACTGGTCCCCTTCAGTCACAGCAAGAGGGATTTTTCCCATTAATCCCATTAGCCTCCTGAGCTAAAAGACTGCTGTACCTCATCTTTCTGCTGGCTCCACTATTTCAGGATTTTTTCTGGGACAATATTCTCTGGGTTTTTCAATGTCAATAAGGGAGGGTGAGAGTGACTTACTACTTTCTCTACCATGTTGGCTCCCGAAAGTCAAAATAGGTCCAGGAGAACCTTATATTAAGGAAACCACAGGTTTAGCTCTTATTACCTACTAAGCCAAATGCTGGGCTTGCTGCTGGGGATACAAAGACACCTTCCCTCCTCCCCCTGAAAAAAATAACCCCTAACTTTAAAGTACTGATCATGAGGAAACATACACAATAAGTATCAAGTACACATATATACACACAGAGAAAACAGTCATTTAGGAAATGATGGAGGGAGAAAACTAAGGGTGGTGAAAAGGGGAGGAAATCATGAAAGACCTTGTGAGGACAGTGGCACATGAGCTGTATTTTGAAAGAAGGTTGGGATTCTAAGAGGAAGGAAAGAATTCTAAGAATGAGGGATAGTCTATGCCAGGGGTGGGGAACCTGTGGCCTTGAGGCCACAGGTGGCCTTGAAGCACCCCTTCCCACCTCCCCTTTCTGTCTATGCAAATGCATGGAGGTAGAATATTGTGCATTGGGAACCACAAGCAGGCCAAAATGACCAAAACCCAGAGTATCCAAATGGGGACTAAGGTACATCAGGAAGGATAGTTTGCAACCAGATTATGAAGGGCTTTAAATGCTAAAAAGTGGAGCTTATATTTTATCCTACAGGCAATAGAGAACCACTGAAATTTCTTGAGCAAAGGCATGGACATAAACATATGGCAGGGGAGTTCAATGACCAAGCTATTATAATAGTTCAGATGAAAGGCAATAACTAGAGAGAAGGAGAGGGATGTTAAAGAGTTTATAGAGAAAGAATTGACAAAACTTGGCAATTAATTAGATATTAGTGGTAAGGGAGTGAGAGAGAGTGGACAGTCTAGCATGATGCTGAGGTGACTGGAACAATGGTAGTAGAGAAAGAGAGAAATTAGGAAAAGGGCTGGTTGTCAGTTGAGGTGGGGAATAAGGAGTTCCATTTTAGGCACTTACAGGATATCTAAGTAGAGAAGTCCAACAGGCATCTGATGATATAAGACTGCAATCTTACAAAGATGAGGGCAAATGGGTTGGGGGGATAACATCACACTGTAAATCTGACAGTCCTCTGGTATAATGGCTGTTTATACTAATAGATTACATTATTTTGGCCAATCATGGCATGATTTCTTTGAATTTCTTTTATATCTTTTTCTTGCCTCAGGCTGGAAGGGCAGGGGTTACAATCCAATCTCACTACGGATTAGCACAAGAACTCAGACTTGCTCTGTTTCCGACCTGGGTCACTTTATTCCTCCTCAGGTAACTTGATCTCCTGGGCTCACTATATTGATGCCAAATTTAGTGAGAACATCTGATAGGTTCAGCCCACTACAGCTCAGAACTCTCAAGCTCTAGAGATCCACCAACTTTAGTTTTCCCAGAAACTGGGATGTATACCAGCATGGCTGGCTCACCCGTGAATTTCTTTAAAACCCTCAAGTCAATAAATAACATGTAGTATCAGAGCACAAAGGCTAACACAATGTTGGGCACACAAACATGTATAGAACTGAACTCACGTATTCTAGTTGGACATAGTAAAGAACTGGGGCTCCTTTTTTATTTATTATTAGACACTACAGGGAAAAAGTCAATTCACTTCTCTGGGGCTTAGTTGCTTACCCGTAAAATGAGAGAATCGGGCCAGATAATCTCCAAGATCAGATGATATTTTAGCTCTAACATTCTATGAGGCTATGAAACTGGGGTTCTGTCATGTTTGCTAAAATTTTAAGAATCTGAGACATTTCTTGTAGGGATATCTCAGAAGGCAATACTTCTAGATCTGCTAAATCACCATTTTTCATAGAATCATAACAATGGAAAGGTGCCAGAGAGACCACCTGGTTCAGGTCCCTGCGTTCAGACTCAAAAAGATTACAGTAATATAGTATGCAAACCAATCAAAAATTGTTTACAACAGTCTTATCTTGAGTTGTAGAAATAAAAATATCTCTATCTCTCTCTATATTAAGAGAGTTCCAAAAGTCTTAGTGCAATTTTAAGTTGCTTTGGCTATTAAAACGATATTTAAGCTTTAAACTGCAATGACTTTGGAGACCCTCTGTATAATTTGTGATATCATTGGTGTAAGGAACTCCTGGTGTGGAAACTCCTCCTATCAATGCAGTAATAATAGAAACAATAATTTAATGAATGTGTACATTTACGTACCACTCTTTACTTTCTTACGGCATTTTTATTTATGTAATCTCACTTTAAAAACAACCCTGTGAGACATTCTCTAACCTAATTTATTATTTAACAGAAAAGAAAACTAGGCATTGAGAGATCAAACGTGCTGGCAGCTGGGCCGCCTGGTCTTGGTCCAGCAATTAGCACAGTTCCGCACGAGCAATAATAAATGTCACTGAATGAATGGCAGTGACTTAGGCACAGCCCTGCGGAGTTCTAGTTGCGGAGCTAGGCTAGATCGGAGGTCTGACAAAGCAAAATTAGCATAGACTAATCGATTATTTTTGAGTCTACGGTTGAGGAGGAGTGTTTGGAAGGAGGTGAGGAGACAAAATTATACCCTTTTCCCGGCTTACTTCAACTCATTGCCACGTGAGCCACTAAGCCTGCTGTTACCATGGCAACGAGACGCTAACCTCCTTCCCAAGCTGTTCATTCTTCTTTTACGTTTCGGTGAGCCGAAGGTCGCTTGCTCTTTCTTCATACCTTTCCAACCCTTCTCTTTCTACCTGTTCTCCTACGCGTGAGACACCGTTCCCTGCAGGTGAAACTGGGATCCCCTCAACTTACCTCGAGTTTCTTTTACTCGAACCTCTCACTGCGGTCCGGTCAGGGATATATAGCACAGACTATAATCTGAATAGGAACACGTCATCAAAGGCGCGTCCTTTCCCTCCGAGCCGAGGCTGCAGAATGAACTTTTTTTGTTCCTGCCAACTCCTTTTGTTTTTCTTCCGTTAGCTCCTTTTTTCCTCTTCATTCCATTCTCCTTCTAAAACCGTCAGGGTCCCTCCCACTCTCCAATCACAATTGGTCCACTTGGTCCCAGCCTAGTAGGCGGGGTTTAGCATTTTCTCACTTTTCATTGGTTGACGAACACGTCAAAGACCGAGATAGACATGCGTCTTTCGGACAGGTCCGAGGCTTGAAATTTCAGTCTCAAGGATCGGAGGAGGCGAAGGGGAAACTAAGACTCCCAGCGTCCCCTGCGTTCCTTCAATCACTTCCGGTGTGGGAGCCTGGGTGTGGGTTCCGGGCGTTGGGTCGGCTGTCTGAGCGTTGGGCTCTTTTTGAGGCGTGGAGCCGGCGACTTGTGCCTCTTCCTCGGGCCCGGGCGGAGCCGCCGATCGCCGAAGGCAAGGTTGGGGGCCCGCCCCGTGGATGTGTCAGGCTGGGAAGGGAGCGTCGGGGCATGTGGGCGTTAGGTGACCCGCGGGTCGATTTCCTCGTCGTTTCCTGAGTCCGCAGCGTGGGGGCCTTTTCGTCGCGGGCAGCTGGAGCCAAGGAAGGACCGTTGTCGTTGGATGCGGCCCCGGCCCGACGGAGGCCTCGAGGCTCATGAGTCCCCCGCGCAGGTACCACCTGGGGGCGGGGGCACCTGCCTGCCTGTCCCCACATCGGCCCCAGGGGCCTGCGTGCTGAGCCTGCTCGGCAGGAGGCGGGAATGAAGTGGAGCTGTCTTCCCCGCCCAGTGCTGGAAGGAACCTCTGGGATCAGTGGAGGCGGTGCGGCGGAGTGGACCCGAGATCAGACCCTGCCTCTTACACCTTCCAGCCGCGTGACCCTGAGCAAGTCCCTTGATCTCTCTGAGCCTCAGTTTCCTCATCTTTAGAATGGGGATAAAAATGATAGCCTTAAGGTTTGCAAAGCGCTTTAGGCAGGTTATGTCATTTTGTTCTCCAAAAAACGTGGGAGGTAATGCCGGCAATATCCTTATTTAACCGGTGAGGAAACTGACGCAGACAGAAGTTAAGTGACTTGCCCAGGGGCATACAGCTAAAGTGGATTGAAACTTCCTACTTTCTAGTCCAGCGAGGTATCCCCTTCACCACTTACTTAACTGCTACTAGCTGTTATTATGAGGATTTAATGAAATAGTATATGGAAAGTGTTTTGCAGCAAGGTGTCTGCCTCAATTTCCTCATATGCAAAATGGTGATGATAATAATAGCACTTACTTCCCAGGGTTCTTGAGGGTAAAATGGGATATTTGAAAGCTCTTTGCAAATCTTTAATTGCTATATAAATGCTAGCTAGCTATATTTTAATATATCATAGAACTATAAAGTATTAGATAAATGTCAGTTGCTCTTTTTAAATCCAGGAATTTTTAACCTTTTTAATGTCATGGACCCATTTGGCAGTCTGGTAAAACCTGTGGACTCCTTAGAATGATGTTTTTAAATGCATAAAATAAAATACATAAGATCACAAAACACCAATCTTGTTGAAATAAAGTTACCTAAATATTTTTCAGTGAATGAGCCCCAGGTTAAAAACTACTGGTTTATTCTAATAGCTTGTGAGACCCAGATAAAAGATGTGGCTTGCCCAAGGTCACTATTCCTTGCAGAGGGTCTCCTCAAACCTAGTACTTGTTTTAACTGTCCTTTTACCTTTCAGTATTTTATTCTGCTTCTATTTCAGAGTATTTCAGGAGACAGCAAAATCAAGCTTGTATTTTGGTACATTTGTTTCATTAAGTAGGCTATTGTAGCTTAGACATTTTTTGGTAGTATAAATTATAGTTATAATTATATGCTATTATATTATGATTTGTTGGACTAATATTTAAATCACCCTAAAATTTTATTATGTACTTTTATTTTTTTCTTCTTTTTTGTTTTTTTGTCACACCTTGTCTTTTCCACACCCTTTCCATACTGGTAGCTCAGGAGAGTGTCAGTTTCATAAACCTCATGATTCAACCAGTAAGCAAATGAGTTGATAGTAATATAGACAAGGTTTCCAGGATAAATAATTCTCGTAACAAAATACTTATTATCTGTCCATTACCAATACTGTTCAGCTCTTGGGAAAGTTTCATTATCAAATTGAACAGGCTGTTAAATTTTTTTTTTCTTCAGTCTGCCTCATTACCAGGCATTGTAGAGGTGAGGCTGCATAGTGCAATGGAATGAGATTTAGGGCCAGAGGACCTTGACTTCAGATCCCTGCTTTACTACTTTCTCTGTGATCTTGGAGATGCTACCTTGGAGAAGGCATCTCTTGGCCTTAGCTTCCTAATCTGTAAAATAAGAGAGTTGAACCAGATGTCTTCTAAAGTCCCTTAGGACTCTAGATCTGTGATCATCATGTCAGTTTAGTATATTTTGCTATTTCCTGCCTATCTAAAGCCTTATTTTGTAGTTCCTTTACTGGTTCTTCTTTTCTATGCCATTTAAGTATGTATAGATATTTCCCAGCGCTCTGTTCTCTGTCACTCACCTAACCTCTGTTTGCCTTAATCTATTGGAGAAGGAAAAGACAAACAAACAGTATCTTTTCAAAGAAGACCCCATGGTCTACTTTACAGGGGTGGGGAGCCTGCGACCTCAAGGCCGCATGTGGCCCTTTAGGTCCTCAAGTGTGGCCCTTTGAATAAATCCAAACTTCACAGATCAAATTCCTTTAATAAAAGAATTTGTTCTGTAAAACCTGGACTCAGTCAAAAGGCTGCATCCAAGGACCTAGCCTGGAGGCTGAGGGTTCCCCACCGCTGGACTCCACGAGGCCACCAGAAGTCAGATATGACTGAACATGCATGTAAAGTGCTTTGTGAATATTCCAGTGGTATATAAATGTCAGTTATGATTAAGCATAGATCCAATTTCAGTCTCTTATGCAACATAATCCAAACTGAACTCATCATCTCTTCATGTCTTAAATATCTTAACTCTCTTTCCACTTTCCTTATTTCTGCTGAAGGTATCTTGTCGTTCATCCTCCAAACCTCATCATGTTCTTTTGACTCTTCCCTCTACGTCATCTCTCACATCCAAGTAGGTGACAAGTCCCGTCCATTCGACCTCCACAGGACCTCTGTATTTGTTTTTTTGCTTACCTTGCTACCACTCCAGTTCATGTCCTTATAACCTTTTTGCCTGGCCTACTTGATTTTACCCTCCCCCTTCCTACTTTTATTTTCTTCTTTCTTTCTTTTTTTTGGGGGGGCTAGGCAAGAGGGTTAAGTGACTTGCCCAGGGTCAGACAGCTATTAAGTGTCAAGTGTCCGAGGTCCTCTTGACTTCAGGATCGGTGCTCTGTCCATTGCGCCACCTAGCTGCCCCTATTTTCTTCTTTCTGCAATCCATCTAGAGTTCCTAGCTTCAAATATAATCATCCTAATACATAGGTCTCGGGGCAGCTAGGTGGTGTAGTGGATAGAGCTCTGGTCTTGGAGTTAGGTTAAGTGATATGCCCAAAAGTCACACAGCTAGTAAACTGTCATTATTAGGATTTGAACTCAGGTTCTGGGTCTTCAAATCCAGCACTTTTTTCACTGCATCTTGTGGCCTCCTTAAGTGATTTTTCCATCTTCAGATTTTCCATAGCACTTTTTCTATACCTGTTCTTTGGTCTTACCACATTATTACATATGTGTAGCACAGTTTAGATCATAAGACCTGTGAAGATAGGAATTTTTTTTTTCATTTTTTTCAGTTTTGTATCTCCAGCATCTAACCCAGTGGTTTTTGTACATAGTAGATTCTTATTAAACGTTTGTTGAATTGAATATCCAACTGGGATCTGTTAGGCTAGTTGAATTAGGGTGTTTCCTTTTTGTGAATAGGAACTGTGGGCAATTTTGGCAAGTCACTTCATTTCTGTGGATCTCAGTGTCCTCCTTTGTGAAATGAACAGGTTGAACCAGATCATCTCTACCCTCTTTTTAGCTCAAAAGTTCTATGATTCCACAGTTCAGACAATGGAATAAAATGTGCTTTGTAGCCTAGTTAAAGGAGTTACAGGTTCACATCTATCCTAGGGATAGTCAAACCCAGTGACCCCCAAAATACAAGTTTTATCCAACCTTCATAGAATCACAAGTTATATTTTAGTTATAGAAGTCTTGAAGTTAACTAGTACAAGTCTTGGAGTGCTTAAAGAGTTGATAAGGCTCACTTGGGGCCTTTTGGAAATGTTAGTTTTGGATAACTAGCTATCCAAAGATAGTACTGTGGAGATCAGTTGACCAAGCACAAAATTGGCTAGAGTTTCCAACTCATGTCAGAAGGCTTTGTTTTTCAAAGCTTGCCTGTTTTAAAAAGCTAATCCTTCTAATTCGGCTATATAAATTCCCAGAGAGTGACTGGTAATTTGCAAGGATATATTATTTGATAATTTAATAAATTTCTATTTCCTAATATATTTGGACACTAAATACAGTGCTGAGTAATGTAGTTCATTTACTTCAAACACTAAGTAAATTCATTTTGAAATGTGATGGGCAGATGATCTTTCTCTGATTTTTGGAAAAGATTTTCTCCAAAGATACTGCATAGATATTTCCTTTAATGAGCTATCTAATTTGATTTATAGTTTTTGAAATTGATGAAATAAGGACAGAGATAGCACATACTTAGCTAAAAGAATTGTAGTTATGGTAGTTTCAAGTGTCTGTCTTTTCAGTATTGTATAATCCATTTTCTTCCATTGGAGTGATGGGATAACCCCCTGGGATTACAAAAGTTGTCTAGAACTGATGGGTGGGGAATCCTATCGAATAGATTATACTATCTGTGCTGACTAAACATAGTCGGCCTAGTTGCCAAGTATTTAAAATGAGAATTGGAGGGAAAATGAAATTCTGTATGTGGAAATTTTTTTTACAGCCAACTTTCTTGAATATATTGGCTCAGTACACAGATGTAACAGCCATGTGAAAGAAGATGGGTGAAGGGGATAATCAAATCACAGGATAATATATTATATTAAATATAATGATAATACTGTATAATATATTAAATACATCTTATCCTATGATTTTACTTATATATTACATACATACACATACAAGTAAATTAATAAAACAGTCTTATTCTTAGAACAGTGAATTTAAACTATTTTGAGAATTAGTATTTGGATATTAAAATCTACTCAGAATAG